TTATTTAGATAATTTTTTCTATATATAAGTAGCATCTATGAATTCTTTCTTATTAATTTACTATGACCTATACATATCACTTGATTTATTAATATTCATGCACTATATTAAGGGCAGGTATTTTAGAATGCTAGAGATTCCCAAAGTAATTTTGACATTGGTTTTGTAAATATGATCATGTATATGATTATATCTTAAGAATGATTAATATTCTTAGAATTTTAATATTTTAAAGTAAATAATAGAGGGCTTGAAATTATTATTCTGCTCTTCTTTTCAATATATTATATTCTCTATTTATTCTGAATCTATATCTAAGCTCTCTCTCTTACTAGCTGTGTCTTTTGGTAAGTGATCTCATTTCTCTGTGATTTAGTTTTCTTATCTGTGGATAATAGGTGGTTATTAAATGAGTTCAGAAAAGTTCTTAGAACAGTGCCTGTACATAGTAAATGCTTTGTATTTTCTATTACTATAATACAGATGATAGCAGGCATCATATTTTTTTTTCAGATTGGGCCACAATAATTGGGCCACATAAAGTACTGTTGACTTTTCCATTTTTCATCACTCCTTACGTTTCCTTCTGTAAACTAACTGACAGGCAGTAGGTGGGGTGTCAGGGCCTCAGCAAGACAGGAAACAGGCACATTTGACCAGGGGACCAAAGCAGAGCCCAGACTCATAGACTGGCCCAGTATGGCCAGAGGAGAAGATGGGAAGGCTGCAAGGCCATTCTCACCCTGGGTGCTGGACACGATCTAAAATCACCATGCTATTCCGGAGCCCATTGGTTGGTACAGTGAAGCTCCTCGTCTCTTTCCCTCTCTGTCAAGAACAGGCTGGGGTGGAACTGAGCCTCCTCCTGACTCAGAGGAGCTGAGGGAAAGCTGCCGCTGAGGGAAGGCTGCAGCTGGCAAGGAGGTAACCAAGTGTTCTGTATCAGGAGGATGGTGAAAATGAAAATACTGCAAATAACAGCAAAAATTAGAGTTATGCAAAGAGGTGAAGGAATCATGAAGAACTTTAAGATTTGCCAGGGATAAGCCCCATGCCAATATATAATGTTTTCATAACTTTGAATTGCCAGTATGTACATTTTCATTGGGGCAGTGATCACTACAAGTGATTTCAGTTTCTTAACCAATATGACATTAAACAAATGTAACTTTTTGCCACTTACAAAAATAAGCGTAAGAGATTACGATTCTTCTTTAACCAGCCAGTGCCCAAAGTGGAAAGCGAGTTTGCCTCTTAAATCACATTCTTGATTTTGTTGTCAAGTCATTATCACAGGAAATATATATGTCTTTTATAGCTACTTGTATGACAGCAATAAACTATTGGAAAACATAGCAGAGATCCAGGAATGCCAAGCTTATTATCAGTAGGACAAATAATTTCTTTGTCTTATAGGAAGCCTGTTTATATTTTCATCATGGAAGTTGTGATTGTTATAACAAGTAACAATAAGAAGTTATCTTCTATTACAAAAAAGTTTCAACCTTCTTAATATTAATTTCCATTATTCTGATGACAAAAAGTTTGTCATAGAAGTTAAAGATGAATAAATGTATCTTATTTTTTTAGAATCTTAAATGATTTTCACTTTGAAATTAACAAATGTGAATTTCCATATTTTTGTGACCATCTGTCTACTTCCTGTATTAAAAATAGAGTCAGAGGCATAGTAATATAAGTCGGAGCCCTCTTTGGTACATATTAAATTGTGCACATCATTTAGCTAAATGTAAATGATATGGTGAATGCCTCCTGAGTAAATAATTTCCGTTCACTTATCAGATTGAGCCATCAGATGATTCTAAAAGTATTCATCATGCTTTCAGTGGCATTTTCTCTGGAGTGGACTGTTTGAGTGCCAAGTTACAACCAAGAACGAAATTCCTGTTTCACGGTACATTGTATCAAAGGTTATCAAGTGTCTTTGAACATCTGATAATTTTTCCTAAACTGTGACTGAAACTAGGCTAAAGAAAAGTTAAAACTTCAGTCATTTCTAATGATTAATTAAGATAGTCTTGAAAACTTTTTTCTGTTTGACGTTTCTTGTCACTAATTTATTGTTTCAAAGTCTGATATTCCATCCTTAACATCCTGTTTTCTCTTCTAATGTTATGTTGCATAATTGAAATGTCACTTATACTGGGTACAATTATAAATATGAAGCCCTTAAAAATATGCCTTGTCCCTGTTAGGTTCAAGGCAAATATAACCTTCTAAGTACTAGACCATCTCCAATCATATTCAAAATTCCAGAGTTGCAACACCCGTAGCATGTAGCATGATTTGTTAAAGATACCTCACATATTTTTCTTCTACATGTGAAATAATCCCAACTCTTAGCCTTTTTGGGTCAAATTTAACAATTTTCATGATATCTTTTGAACCCTCCTAACATTTTATACCTCCATTGATAGTTAAGTAATAGTGACTTGGGTCTAGCCTATGACGAAGGGTCTGGCCTATGATGAAGGGAAGCAGAAAATAATTTGGGGGATCCACAGCTTGAAAATAATGCCACCACCCAGCTTTTTTAGCTTTAAAATACAATCTGGGAGGATAATGCTTCTGAAACTATTTTGCCATCCCAGTGGATTCATTCAGAAAACAGGGCCCTTCTTAGTCTTACCCTAAATGATCCACTTTTGAGGTCCCATTTATTTCCTCAGAATCATAGTCTTCCTTTTTTTTTTTTTTAGTATGAAAGAAAACACCACCTGCTGCAGCTGGATGGTGAAATCAATTCAGATAAATTTTATCAGAAAAGAAATATATTGCCAAACAAAAAATTTCTCCAGAGAATGAAGATCATGTTGAAATTGTAATATATATCAGACAATGCAGAGGCTTAGCTATTTCTAGGTTGTTTATTACTGAAGATTTTTCTGATCAGGGCATATAATTTCAGTGCCTCTCATGCCTTTTTGAACCATAGCTCTTTCTGTAAATTATGAGTTAAGCAATTAATTCCGTTTCACTTGCTAGTAAAAATTAAGTCCTAAAGACTCATGTTGGAAGTCATCTGTGAAAAATTCTTACAAAACAGGTGGCATTTACTTTTTGCTGAAATTAAATTAATAAGCCTAGAAGACGAGAGTCAATCTCATGTTTTATTTCTTTAAAAAATGACATTTTACAAAATGGAAGTGAAGATTATAGCAATAGTGGCTAGTGAGTGCTGGCATTGGTTTCTTGAAAATTGAAGGTTCTTGTTTGTCTGCTATGTTATTGCCAGTCTTCTCTCCAGTCTAAAGGAATGACTGTCTCCAACCTCCACACCCCCGCCACCCACACACACATACAAGCATTTAGATGACAAGCATGGTTGGTCATTTTCCATTTACTCAGAATGTTTTTTATTCTTGAAATCTTATCTTAAATGAAATTATTACATAAAGTTCACTAATGATAATGGCTGTGTGTATGTGTGTGTTTATATATAATTTATTATATTTCATTGTTTTAAGCACTTTTATAAATTAACTTACTTAGTCCACATAACCCTTTGAGGTAAGGGGGAGAGATTAGGAGTCCAGTTTTAGACATTGAGCAAAAACATATATCAATAGAAATATGTTTAATATGATATTAAAAATTAAGATCAACTTAAATGTCCAACAGTAAATAATTGGATAAATAAATTATGAGACTTTCATGCAATGAAGTACTATGGAGAAAAATATTTGGCACATCTGTATATTATTTACTGACACGGTATATTTACTGACAATATAAAGCTGGTTATCAAATAGTACTCAGGGAACAACCACATTCTATAGAAGAGAAAAAATGTACTTTGTATTTGCATAGGAAAAACTAAACACATAAACTATAGCAGTAGCAGTTTGTAGTGATTTAATTTTTTTGCTTTTATAATTTTTTTTAATTTTCTAATTAAGTTTTTGTCATTGAAAAGAGAAAATATATTATTCTAGTTACCTTAATCTTATGGACTGTATTTTGGGACTCTGAGGCCGAGTTGCAGGGCCATTGTATAGTGTAGCAGAGGCAGATATATTCTTTCCCATGTTTGGGGGAACTACAGAGGTACCAAGGACATCCCACTGTAATTTTTCAATAACCAACTGTTTCTGCTAAGAAAATACACTGAAAGTAAGGAGGAGCAGATAGAGAAGAACTTGTAAGATCCACTGACCTCCCTGCTCCAATTCAAGTAATCTTTAATTGTCTTTCAGATGATTCTTACATAAGGAATTTAAAAATTACATCCATCTAATTAGAACATTTTTCCACTATAAAATGTTAAGATCCACCTTACTTTTTAAAGATTTATAGTATTTTTTTTCCTACCTTACTTTTAAAAAATTTATCCATTTTGCTGGGCACGGTGGCTCACATCTGTAATCCCAGCACTTTGGGAGGCCGAGGTGGGTGGATCACAAGGTCCGGAGATCAAGACCATCCTGGCTAACACAGTGAAACCTCGTCTCTACTAAAAATACAAAAAATTAGCTGGGTGTAGTGACACACGCCTGTAGTCGCAGCTACTCAGGAGGCTGAGGGAGGAGCATCGCTTGAACCCAGGAGGCGGAGGTTGCAGTGAGCCGAGATTGCGCCACTGCACACCAGCCTGGGTGACAGAGTGACTGCATTTAAAAAAAAAACTATCCATTTCTCCATTTTTGTTGTCGATGATTAGTCTTTCCTTGGTATCTCAAAATTTTAACTCAGTATACTTTATTATTTCTGGAGCTTAAAATGTATGAAGTTCTGAAAACTGCCAAATTTAAACCTAACACTCTTTATTGATGGTTTTTAAATACAACTCGTTCTAGGCAGGGAGACTTGAAAAACAACTTTACAACAATTTTATTGTTGTACATGCATTTTCAAGTGCCAATAGGCAGTGGTGTACTTTATTCTAAGATGTAATAATCAGGTTCTAGGAAAGTGATGTAATTATGAACTGGTTGCCTGGGTGAAATGATTGATTGACTTATTTGTTTTTTCATTTCAAGGGAGTGAAAAAAATAGATCCTGATTTATATGAAAAGTTTATCAGTCACAGATTTGGAGAAGAAATATTATATCGCATAGATCTTTGTTCCATGCTGAAGAAAAAACAAAGTAATGGTTATTATCACTGTGAATCTTCCATTGTGATTGGTGAGTGTCGTTTAAAAATTATTTATTATCTTTATTTTTAATTTTTTTGGCATCACTTGTATCTTGGCAAATATTTAAACTTAGTTGTATATGTTTTCTCAATGATATACTTTCCTAAATATTATGTTTTGACAATGATACACTGAAAATTTTCTAGAGCATTTTTAGTATTTATATTGATCAGTTAAGAATTTGCTACCCATAATTTTTATACTTCTGGCTTTAAATATAATTATAATGAAGTCTGGAAATACTGATTTAGAAATCATTTCAATTTAATTTTATTTCATGAACATGAAGAAAGCATTTTCTCCAGGGAAGGCCTCCATGGCTTTCCACACCAGGCATTTTTGTATTTGCAGCTTGTAATTAGGAATAGAGTGACCTCAGCCAGAAAGTTTCACCTTGAGAAGAGAAAATGTAGGTGACCTGCAAAAATTGAAAACTTCAATTTCTTCCCTAAGAAAGATGTTTTGAGAGGAAGCAAAGATTTATATGTAAATGCATCTGTTAGATGGCATGAGATGAGACAGACTCATATAAAACTGCGTTTCCAGGTGGAAAGTGTGTACACACTTATGGAGATCTTTCATCCAGAATAGAGCTATTCTCCACTTTTTGCAATGTGAATGTATTTCAAAAGAGCCAGCTCTGTTGTGATTCAGATTTATTATTTCAAACCAGACACTATTCTTTTAAAATTGTGAACTTCAAGACAACCTGATTTATATACTTTTAAAGTAACATGAAAATACTCAAAGAAGACAAATACAGGCATACCTTGTTGTATTGTGTTTTGCTTTATTGTGCTTCACAGATATTGCCTTAAAAAGACAGTTTATTTATTTATTTTTAACAAATTGAAGGTTTGTAGCAACCCCGTATCGCTTGTTTTTCTGGGCCATTTTTTCTAACAGCATGTGCTCTTTTTGTGTCAATTACATTTTGGTAATTCTCACAATATTTTAGACTTCATTATTATTATATCTGTTATGGTGATCAGTGATCTTTAATGTTATTATCATTATTGTTTTGGGGTGCCACCATATGAATTATATTCATATAAGATAGCAAACCAAATTGATAAATGTGTGTGTTCTGACTGCTCCACCAAACAGCCATTCCCCTATGAAGAGTCGTACATCTCTTACCTTAAATCAAAAGCTAGAAATGATACATTGGAAGGACATGCAAGAAAAAAAAAACTAGAAATGATTAAGCCTAGTGAGGAAGGCATGTCGAAGGCTGAAATAATCCAAAAGTTAGGCTTCTTGTACCAGTTAGCCAAATTGTGAATGCCAAGGAAATTAAAAGTGCTATTCCAGTGAACACACAAATCAAAAGAAAGTGAATTAGCCTTATTGCTGATAAATGGAAAAAGTTTTAGTGGTCTAGATAGAAGATCAAACCAACCACAACATTCCCTTAAGCCAAAGCCTGATCCAATGTAAGGCCCCACCTCTCTTCAATTCTGTGAAAGGTGAGAAAGGTGAGCAGGGTGCAGAAGAAAAGTTGGAAACCAGCAGAGACTGGTTCATGAGGTTTAAGGAGAGAAGCTGTCTCCATAACATAAAAGTGCATGGTGAAGCAGCAAGTGCTGATACAGAAGCTGCAGCCAGTTATCCAGAAGATCTAGCTAAGGTCGTTGATGAAGGTGGCTGCTCAAAACAACAGATTTTCAATGTAGATAAAATAGCCTTCTGTTGGAAGAAGATGGCATCTACGATTTTCATAGCTACAGAAGAGAAGTCAATGTCTGACTTCAAAGTTTTTCAAAGAACAGGCCGACTTTCTTGTGAGGGGTTAATGCAGCTGGTAACTTTTAAGTTGAAGCCAGTGCTCATTGTCCATTCCAAAAATCCTAGGGACCTTAAGAATTATTCTAAATTCACTCTGTCTATACTTTATAAATGGAACAACAGAGCCTGGATGACAGCACATCTGTTAATAGCATGGGTTACTGAATATTTTAACTACTGCTTAGGAAAAAAAAGATTCTTTTCAAATGATTACTGCTCATTGACAGTGCACCTTGTCTCCGAAGAACTCTGATGGAAATGTACAAGGAGTTTAGTGTTATTTTCATGCCTGCTAACACAATGTCCATTCTACAGCTTGTGGATCAAGGAGTAATTTAGACTTTCAAGGCTTATTATTTAAGAAATATTTTTGTAAGGCTGTAGCTGCCATGAATAGTGATTATTCTGATAGATATGAGGAAAGCAAATTGAAAACCTTCTGGAAAAGATTCGCCATTCTAGATGTCATTAAGAACACTATGATTCATAGGAGGAAGTCAAAATAGCAACATTAACAGGAGTTAGGAAGAAGTTGATTCCAGCTCTCATGGATGACTTTGAGAAGAGGTTCAAGACTTCGTTGGAGGAAATAACTGCAGATGTGATAGAAATAGCAAGAGAATGGCCAGGCACGGGGGCTCACGCCTGTAATTCCAGCACTTTGGGAGGCCGAGGCAGGCGGATCACAGGTCAGGAGATCGAGACCATCCTGGCCAACACGGTGAAACCCCGTCTCTACTAAAACTGCAAAAAATATTAGCCAGACGTGGTGGCAGGCACCTGTAGTCCCAGCTACTCCGGAGGCTGAAGCAGGAGAATGGTGTGAACCTGGGAGGCAGAACTTGCAGTGAGCCGAGATCGCGCCACTGCACTCCAACCTGGGTGACAGGGTGAGACTCTGTCTCAAAAACAGAAATAGCAAGAGAACTAAAATTAGGAGCGAAGCCTGAAGATGGGATTGAATTGCTGTAATCTCATGATAAAACTTTAGTGGATGATGAGTTGCTTCTTATGAATGAACAAAATAAGTGGTTTCTTGAGATGGAATCTACCTTGGTAAAGATCCTTGAACATTGTTGAAATGACAACAAAGGATTTAGAATACTACATTAACTTAATTGATAAAACAGTGGCTTTGAAGGGTTTGAGAGAATCAGCTCCAGTTTTGAAGAAGTTTTACCATGGGTAAAATGTTATCAAACAGCATTCCATGCTACAGAGAAATATTTCATGAAAGGAAGAGTCGATTGATGCAGCAAACTTCATTATTGTCTTATTTTAAGAAATTGCCACAACCACTCCAACCTCCAGCAAGTACTACCCTGATTAGTCAGCAGCCATCAACATCAACAGACAAGACCCTCCACCAGCAAAAAGATGATGACTTGCTTAATGCTCTCATGATCGTTAGCATTTTTGGCAATAAAGTATATTTAAAGTAAAATGTGTACATTTTTTAGGTATAATATTGCACATTTAATAGACTGCAGTACAATGAAACATAATTTTATATGTACTAGGAAACCAAAAAATTCATGTGACTTGCATTATTGCAATGTTTGCTTTATTGCGGTAGTCTGGAACTAACCCATAACACCTCTGAGGTATGTCTGTATATGTAGCTAAATATTGCAAGGTCTTTAACCAAGGTAATTTATCTCCACATCAGCTGGAAGAATACCTATGGATGTATACACCCTGAAAGAATCTTAATACTGATGTTTATTAAAGCATTTAAAAAATGTTCAAGAGGCACAATTTTACTTCCAAATTTTCATTAGAGATCTTCAGAGGTCCTCATTTTACCTTTCAAAGACTTCAGCTATTTTAAACAGAAGATATTCAGTATGTCGTTTGAATTTTATATTCTGAAACATCTCAAGTCTATTTTAAGGAGAATTTTCATGTTTTCAGAATCTCTGTAAGAGAGCTGTCTTCCATCCAAGTTTTGATGAGGACCAAACATTTCTGTTTAGGTTCATTGTAAATGGAAAATTTAGATACTTCTTGTGTAGGACAGATTTTGGCTGGCTTCCCCTATCTTCTCTGCCAACCTTATAAGGCCTCTTATAAGGCCAACCTTATAAGAGATGCAGTGCCTCATTACCTCTCTCACTCCCGTTTAAAAAAAAAAAAAAAGGAATATGTTGATATTGCTGAAAATATTGCAGGACTGGCATTATGAAGCTTACATCATAGATTACCTAAATTGCCACTGGACAGTTCTGTTCAGCCTACCACCCCCATCACTATGTTCAAGCCACTGAGATTTTGCTTTCATTGCTCTTTTTCAGTTGATAGTCTTTAAATTTCCCCTTATGTGAGGTAGTTTCTCCAGATCTTTCCATCAAGCTTCTTTATTGCTGTTACACTTTCTAATTCAAAACAATTTTGCCTTTTTCAAACCCTGCCAATCTTGTATCCCCATGCCAATCACTTCACATTGTTTTAAAAAATGATTTTTCCTTATTACAAATGCTTTTGTGGGTCACATTTGGCAATGACAATATAAACTTTAAAATCATATGTGCCTCTAAAGTGATAATTTATTGTTATAATTAACCAAGTTTAATGTACACAAGAATTCATTCGCTTGTAAATAATTATTGATTTTGTCAATCTTACCTATATTTTATAACAATATTAGATTTGGGATACTTTGTTTTATTTCTCAATCAGATTTAATTGGCTTACCTTGGTTTAGCTTCTCTTTGATTTGATCCTAGCTCAAATTTAATGTCAATTTCTTGAGGCTTGAGCCAACATTTTATAGTATACATTAATACAGTGGGACAGATTTCTGATCTTAAGATACTATTCAGAGTTCTAGGATAGAAGTTGGGCCTCAGGGACCCTGAGAACTTCCTGATATTGTTCATAAAACTTTGTACGTAGGTACATGTGTGACTTTTTCTGGGGAGATAATGTAGCCCTCATTAGATTTGCATATTTCCTATCTTTGTTAATGGTACATTCTTGGAGAGTGCTAGATTACAAGTTACTGATTTTCTCTTTAATCATCTCTGTTATACCATTTAAGACATCTTAAAAAAAATCAGTGAGTATATATGCTGCATTTGTAAGGTTTCCAGTTGATTCACTTTTTTTTTTTTTTTTTTTTTTTTTGAGACAGAGTCTTGCTCTGTCGCCCAAAGCTGGAATGAAGTGGCTCAATTTTGACTCACCATAACCTCCACCTCC